ACCCACTGGGAGGAACAAACAACCCCAGAAGCACAACCTTTTAGGGCTGTAAAACTCACTGTGAAGGTCTGTGGCTTAACTCCTGAAGTCGGGAGACCACGAACCCACCAGAAGGAAGAAACTCCGGACACATCTGAAATCTGAAGAAACAAACTCTGGACACACCATCTTTAAGAACTGTAAAACTTACTGCGAGGGTCCCCGACTTCATTCTTAAAGTCAGTGAGACCAAGAACCCACTGGAAGGAACCAATTCTGGGCACATAAATATGCAGCAAAATACAATATGGTATGATTTTGAGCAATTGATGAATATGTAGAAAAATTATTCAATCCTGATGTTTGAAATATGCTACTTTGAGTAGCAGCCTTGTAGTGACCTAAATGTATTTCTGTAGATAAAATTGAAATATGTGGTACTATAGTGAATAATGTGTGTTACAATATAATAGCATGCACAATTGTATATATGAAGTTTAGAACACTTCTACATTTTAATATCTGTAATATGATTATACTCATATATGTGTACTCAGATTCCAAAACATCATCAAACATAAATGTTATTATTGTCTTTCTAGGAAGATGGTGAGGTTTTTTTTTTTTTTTTCCTTTTCAGTCTCACTCCGTCACCCAGACTGGAGTGCGGTGGCATGATCTCAGCTCAATGCAACCTCTGCCTCCTGCGTTCAAGTGAGTCTCATGCCTCACCCTCCCTATTAGCTGGGATCACAGGTGTGTACCACGACACCCGTCTAATCCTTTGGTATCCTTAGTAGAGACGGGGTTTCACCATGTTGGTCAGGCTGGTTTCAAACTCCTGGCCTCATGTGATCCATCCATCTTGGCCTCCCAAAGTGCTGGGATCACAGGCAGGGGCCACCGCATCTGGCCGATTGTGAGAATTTGAATAGGCCACTGAAATAGATAAACTTTAATAAAACTGATAAACTAAAAACAAATCATTTAGAGTCTGTTCAATGTCAGAATCAAGAATACAGAGGATGAAAACACAGAGCATAAGTTAAGGAATTTACCTGGTACTAATTCTGGTAGGGACTTTGCTTTGAAAGCCTCAGATTTCTAGATTGAAACTCCAATTAGAGTAAAGAAATATTTTGGTTAGTATGAAAAAGTGTTGATAAAAGCAAAATAACATTATTGTGTGAGTTAAAATGACCACAGAATTATCAGTATCTGATTTAGGAATGAGAGGAAATTGCTTGTGCATGAACTCTCCTTGGGTGAGCGTATAAGCCACTTGGCACATGAGTGTATGGGATTAGGAAGGTCAAGAAAAGGGCAATCTCATTTGCTTCAGTTGAAGTTGGAAATGGATCATGTTGGTGAATGAGATAAACACTAGTATTTAAAAAAAAGAAAAATAAATTCATTTTAAAACCCCTTTATTGAATTATTTTTAAAGTATTCATGGCACTAACCATTTTTCCTTTTTTTCTTTTGACTTATAACTTTTCTAAAACAAGAAGCAATAATTTCAAATGAAAAAGTTTCTGTTTGCAATAGAGGAAATATACCACAGTCTGTTTGGTACAGTGGTATGTACTGTTGACATAAATCAGTGCAACTTCATTCTTTGAAACAAAAAGCCCTGATGGTATTTCTCAATACAGGTTAAGAATTCTTAATTCAAAATCTGAAATATGGCCCACATAGCATATTACGGATTTACTAGCCTCCGTAATAGTGTGAACCAATTCCTCATAATACTCTTACACACATACACACACAGACACACACAAACCCACACATATATCCTGTTGGTCCTGTCTCTCTCGAGAACTCTGTTTAATACAGAAGGTCATATAGGTTCTTGACTAGAAGACAATTCAGAGCAATTGTTGCCCATTAGGATCATCACCTTCTTGAGGTTGGCAATTGGTGTCTCTCTTCCTCAAGTTTTCTTTTTATTCTTTTTAATGCTGCAGCCATCAGCCTTCCAAAACCTCTATGATAAATACAAGAGTAATGTTCTGAGGTCAAAAACAAAACAAAACAAAACAAACCTTCCTTCTTTCCTTCCTTCCTTCCTTCCTCCTTTCCTCCCTTCCTCCTTTCCTCCCTTCCTCCCCTCATCCCTTCTTTCCTTCTTCCCTTTCTAACTTCCTTCTGTTTTAGTTTGTTTTTATTTAGCACTCTGAGACCACAAGGTCTTATTAATTTTCTATTACCCTTTTTTCTACAGAAAGAAATCATTTTAGTGGATATTGATAGCTTATATATAATAATTTATATAGACAAAATATATTCTAAGTATGTGCCTCCTTTTACTTCCTACCTCATACATTTTTGTTTCCTTCTTCAAAATTTTAGGACAAATGCCATGTGTACTCATTCATGATTTTGAATTACCTTAATTTCAAAACATACTAATACAAATTTTTGTGTTTTTTATTTGTGTTTAGTATATACTTCTTATCCTTTTTTTTCAATTATACATTATTATTATTTAAAAATAATAATAATTTCATATAATAAATTAATATATAATATTTATTAATATATATATAATCATTCAA